TATATATATATATACTGTCTTATATATTATATGATTATATATGGGTCGTTTTTCCCAAATGTTAAAAATTCCTGTAGCAAGAATTTATTAGCACATATAATGTATCACAATAAATTAAACAAATGTTGTATATATATTTTTTATATAGATGTCAAGCTGGTACCGGAAGATGTGTTGTGGACAAAGCTCATCGAAATCAATGTCAGGCTTGTCGTCTGAAGAAATGTATGCAAATGGGAATGAATAAGGATGGTGAGTGATAACATATGTATTTTCAACTAATTGAGCAAGAAATTAAAAATTTAAAGTAATGTCCAAAATCAATTATAATAATGACAAAAAGAAAGAAGTATAGGTAGAGAATCGAATAAAATTATGAAATAACGTTTTATATATATATATATACATTCGCGCGCGCGCGAATGTTATTAAGAATAAAGTTTCTTGCCATACGATAAATTTCAAATAGACGTATGCGATTTCCGGGATAAAAATCGACGTGTTGTTGCGACGCGATCAGATTCAATCGAAAAGATCTCCCTTTGCGACATCGAGTTCGGCAATAAGAAAGTTATCAACGGGACGATACTGAAGGCCGAAACGAGAATGCAGGAAGGGAAAAATAAGAAAAAGACGATGAGACAGGTGCGCGCCCGTGTCTCGCCGGGAGGCATTAGGAATTGAATCGGAGGATGTTCGGCGCAGCCAGACTTTCGCTTATACACGCTCTCACCCCGCCTTTATCCAGTTATTTATGTCGCGAACATAAAGGGTCCGCCGAATTCCACTTTCCTACCGCTGATTGATTCCAGTATTATCCACGAAAATGGATAATCCGACGGATCCATAACTCCTATTCGGTGACAATGTCTCGAGAACTTGCAATGAGATCCTGATATCTTTGCAAGGATGATCGACGCGATGTGATACCAATAACATGTCATTCTGATCTGGTAGTTGATCAATTCTTTTTTTTTTAAGAACTCTTCTTAAGAGAGAAAAAGAGAGCGCGCAAAAGAAATTAAAATTGAACTTTTGTTTATATTTATATGCTTGTTTATATTTATTGCTAACAATAAATATCAGAAAATGCAACAAATGATGAAGCATTCAATGATTTAAATCTAAAAATAATTCATACGACAATTAAAAACAATAAGATACACAAATGTATTAAATTAATAGAACACAATGAGATATCCAAGTACATTAAAAATTGAAATGAAATCGTGAAAATGACAATGAAATTCTTCCAATTCTCACAAATCTACACATTGGCTCTTCAGATTTACGTGGAGAAGGTGAGCGGAATAATTACGACAAGCCATATTAGTGCGGGTGAAAGACACTCTTGTGTCACAAGCACCAAAAAGGAGACTCGTGGCGTCCGCCGTACTTTAATGGTCGCGCGATTAGGGCACTTATTGTCGGCGAGCCTGGCGCAATTTTTCCCGGGTTCCCTTTTAGCAGCGGCTCGGCAACGAGCGCGCAGTAATTTCGTAATAATAAAAAGCGTGTCGGCTCGCTTTACCTCCAGCGTGCAACCTGCTGAGCGGCTTAATGGGGTCCTCTTGTTTCGTCGGACCTCCGCTTCTTCTCTCTCTCTCTCTCTCTCTCTCTCTCTCTCTCTCTCTCTCTCTCTCTCTCTCTCTATATATCCTTGCCGCTCTTACTGTCCTCGCGACATGTTTCACACCAGAAAAGATAAACGCCCCATACGCTCTATTTCCGTTTAATTTGCATTCACTTCGCTGCAAGAGGCCGTCCTGTTTTCTGACCACCCCTTTCCTCAATTTCTTGGCTTTTTTAATTGACAATCCCTTTGGTCACTATACTATGTATAGAATTATTCATCATTATTTTTATTATTCTCATTCTTAACGCGAATAATAAATTCTCTTCACATAAATTCTCTTCTATCTTCTAAGATTATTTTTAAAAAATACTCGATTTTTTAAATTTATTCTCATTAACTATTGTGTAAATATTATAATAGATAAATTAATAAGAAAATAATGCGCTACAGTATTTAACATAAATCTCATATATATAAAATGTAAAATGATTTTAAAAAAAAGTATTATTTTTCTGTAATTTGATATTAACAATTAGATCGCATATGGATTATAAAAGTTATTATTAACTAAAATTATCTATTATTAACTAAAATTAATTGTAAGTGACAGTCATTAAAAACCTAATGCTATTGCTCATATCCACAAATATAGTTTTATTGTTATCCCTCGTAACATTTTTTGTGCGGATTCTCGAACCAGAACACGCGAACACCCTCGAGCAGATTATTTCTCTCATTTGCATTGTCGCCGCACCACAGGAGAGCACCCTTTGCCCGACATTGTCCTTAGTCCTTTCTGGTTATCTCCATCGGCGAAGTCGCGACTGGGAAGCGCCGAAGGGTGCGAACGAGTCTCCGCGTGCGCAATAGATGGTCGGCTGCACGTTGCATACGTTTATTTCCTCCAATTAACCCTTCGGGATTCGACGAAGGCCACGCGACTGTCGCTAACGACCGCAATGTTTACGGCGGCAACAAGAGCGAACGAACACTTCGCCGCGGCGAACTTCACGAGAATGAGCTTGCAAATGCGCTTGATTGATTCACGTGAATAAAAACGACGACACTTTCATATTAACCCTGGCGATCCCAATCGTTTATTTCTGCAAGTTATTTACGGAATGTTTTAGAAAAAAGAAATCCCTGTATATCCCATCCTAAGTGATACTTTTTTCATATAGGGTATAGATATAGATGGTTTAGATTTTCTTTAATCAAAATATAAAACAACCACTGGATATTTTACGTTATATAAAAAATACGAAAAAATTGAAAATTATATCATGTATCTATGGAATTCGTTAACACTGAGTCTCTCTCTCTCTCTCTCTCTCTCTCTCTCTCTCTCTTTCGGACCATTGCCTTTGGAAAATGTACTGATAATGATACGTCAAATTTGAAAAGCTTATATATTTATTATTTATCAATTATATTTATCTGCAGTAGAAATGTATAGTAATCATTATTATCGTCATCATTATCAAAATATATTTTCTCATGGATTGGTAATTGAAACTTTTAGGTGCGTACTGCATTACATACATATTACAAACAATAAGCGTTGCTAGTTTGCTGCATGCCTTGTTGAATTCACGCGTGTCAGATGCAGACCACCAGCGTGATATAACATGGCGTTACGTGAGTTTGACGAGAGGGCGGCAGACAACCGCAAACCCCTGTTGTTCCCCATTCCCGTGAATCCGTTCAACTAATATTTCAATAATGTTTCAATCATTCACGAATTTGAAGAACGGCACAATGCTCTTATTGTTCGTCGAGCATATCACCGTTTACAATATGTTTTCGTTCGAGGCTGCCAGTTTTTTCAAAAATGAACAAAAAAAAAATTGAAAAAGTGAGTGAACATCGTGCGACGCGATGAATATCGTAAAAATTTCACCGCTACGTTACGATATGTTTCGTTAGCAATCAATCGGAAAAACGATTCGATTTTTAACGAAATACCAGTTTTGCAAATACTACACTAGTTTTATTTACTATTTCTTCCCTATTATTATATAATGGTTGATATCTGTATATGTTTGTGTAGAGAATATAGTTATCACTTTTACAATTGTACTAAATTATCGCAAAACAATTGTGCTAAATATTGCACAACATAACGATAGTTCTTTTCTTATATAATAACATTCGATAAATAAATATTATTTTTTAAAAAATTGATATTTTCGAACATTTTTTTTTAATCATTTATTTATCATTTTTTAATAGAACACTGATTACGATTATTCGTAATATAGCTTTATGTTCAATATTACAATTTCCTCACATTATCACAAATGATCTCATATAATTATAAGATAGTTGTAACAAAAAACATAGATAACAAATAACAATAGTGTAGTATTTGCAAAATTGATATTTCGTTAAAAATCGAATCGTTTTTCCGATTGATTGCTAACGAAACATATCGTAATATAGCGGTGAAATTTTTACGATATTCATCGCATCGCACGATGTTCACTCACTTTTTCAATTTTTTTTATATATCATTAAAATTGAATGTATTATCTGATTAATTTGCATATATTTAAAATATAAAATTTATATAACACTTAAAAAAAAATCTTCAACTGAATTAAATAAGTACAAAGTTACAGAAGATTTAATTTTAACGTTATATTTTTCTATCACAATAACCCATAGTGACTTACTGTTTGTTTCACTTCAGCTTATATGGACTGGTGCACCGTGTGCATCAGTTCATATAATGCAAAAATAAAAAACAGATCTAAAAGTATAATAATACAGCAGCACTCATAGCGCGTTCCACAAACGCAGCCAATATGTCCAATATTTAAATATTTTTGTAAAAGTTTTAAATAGGTAATTAAAATGAAAATATCCCTCGTGTGCATACATATATGTATTGTGTGTACATGTATACATATGAGTATATATTTTTATATTTGTGTTTATGTATATGTAATATTATTTTATAAACATGAGAAAATAACAAATTGTAGCTGTTCAGAATGAACGTCAACCAAGGAATACTGCCACCATCAGACCGGAAGCTCTCGTAGAAATGGATCAAGAACGAGCTTTACGCGAAGCTGCCGTCGCCGTAGGTGTTTTTGGGTAAGTAATTATTTGTTTTTTCTTTTTGTTAATTCTTAATACTCTAATTTATCTTTTAATCAAATCTTATTGCTATGTCATTACAATTTTTAAAATAATCATTAAACATTAGAAATCAATGATCTAAAACAAAGCGAAAGGAAACACAGGCCGAAATAAACGAGATTGAACAAATTGTCACTAAAAAGTATCGCCGAATTATTAACAATAACTGAGACCATCACACAAATCGGTAGTGATGTTAAGAACGTATCTGAAGCTCTCGGAATTATTTCGAAAGGATAAAAGTATTGAATATTTGCGAATCGTATCTTAAAAGCTGTACAAAATTTCAATTTAGACATGGTCGATTAGAGAACGGTAGGTGATGGAGATTACGATCGATAATCACTTGTCGACGGATGCAACGACAAGAGCAACAAGGGCCGACGACGTTGTTGGCACGTTTGATCTTCTGCTGCGCACCAGACTTACCTTTCGCCGTTATGAGCGACACGCCGAGCGTGATCTATCATGAAAAATTACCTTTGACTAGCAGCCCGAGACATAGCGTTTTTCAAGTAACCGGTTGTCCAGGTTGGAACTAATGAAAAATCCATAGAGCGCCAAGGGGTGAATGTTAAAAGCGACGATTGGCGTCCTGATGCGGCGCAGCGCGTCATTCTCGGCGAGTTATTATATCGTGCGCGTTACACAAGAGACCAATCTTTCCACTATATAAGCTTATTTTCAAATTAATTTGTTACATTATTAAATATTTAAAAATTCAAAGGATTGAGAGTTAAAAGTGATATATCCAAAAAACTTTTTTATTAATAAGTTACGTATATGTATAAATCAATTAATTTCTTCAAATTTGCAAGAGAAGATTTCATATTATTAATACAAAAAATACATAAAAGATTACTTTTTTCTATAGTTGCGTGATTGACGTATGATTAATTTAAAAAAGTTTGACGCACTTAAGAAATTACATCTTTGCTACGTGCCTCGCTGGGGCCCATTTTTTTGTAATTTTTCCGTGTTTTCATATATTTTATAATTGATTTATGTAACATACTTTTTTTCATGTTGTATATATATATATATATATACAACATAAATATATAACATAAATAACATAAATATATAATTATTTTTTTATTAATAATAAACTATAAACAAAATATGAATTAAAATGAACACTTTTTTTATGCTAGAAAAAAAGATAATGAATATGTTCTGAAAATTTTTACATTATAATTTTTATGAAATCTGCACTCAAAATTTTAAACTAAAAATGTCAGATCCAATTGGTAGTTAAAATGATTGAAAATTTTGGAAAATTGTATTTAGTCGAAACATTATATTTGTTTAATATATTTGTTTAAAATTTATTTAAAAACATTATATTTGTTTAATATATTTGTTTAAAATTCCTCATACATCCTCATTGTTAGTTTTAGATTATACTGATAAAATTTTAAAAAATAACAAGTAATTCTTCGGGATCTGATATGAATTTTCAAGTTTGATTTGCGGATTTAAAAACCTGAGAAATTGTTAAGTATAAAATATTAATTTAATGTATGAGAACATAAGCAACATAGTTTAACTTTTTTTTTAATTTGGCTATTATATTGAATCTGTCATTTTAATTCTTCAAATTTGATTTTGGCATAATTCCAAAAACATCTTTCATCTACTTAAAACTCAACAAAATATTCCAGTCGGTACTAAAAATAACATAATACTATTATTTTACTTTAGTGTTATTTTACTTTTGGTGTTGACTGGGACGTTTTAAAAAATTTGTGAAACAAAAAAATTTAATGAATTGGGATTTGACAATTGGATGCATATTTATGTTAATACTAGAGTTTGAAATGTATTTACGTAATTGGATATATAATCTGTGTATTGTTATAAAACAATTCACACTCCAACCATTTGGTTCTACAGAATAATTTGATACGAATCATGAGAGAAGAGAGAGATCGTTTCTATTAAAATCAACCATTCGATCGCGTAAACATGAAGCTTTGAAACTTGCACTGAAGCAGACAAGCGAATAATCGTCAATAACTCCAGAATCTATAATTACACATAAATTAATGTCGACTCGAGGTTATTGTTACAGCTATGAGCTGACTATAATCTGCTTCATTGAAAAGACCGAGAATGACAAGAAGATGTTAAATGAATTATAATCAGGAAGAGTTATTTTACTCTCTCACCGCAAGAAATATTTAAACAAAGTTTTACGGAAATAATAAGCAATATTTATTCCATGTACAATAAAGAGCTAAAAAAAATGTGGCTATAAATGGATTTGAACATTACACGCTTTTCGTCACGCGAGTCGATCTTCCCAATTAACAGCATCACCTTCGGACTGTAGATTATGTATTTCATCAAAGTTTATCTAGAAATATTAACTGATAATCTTAATTATCTTGATCATCTGTTAACTATTTGAATAAACAATTAATTTGTTTACACGTTATATTATTTGAATTACGTTGAATTACTTTCATTTTGCTACGAAGAACATCTGAAGATTTAATACGATACAACAGAGATGAATGTATCTCATAAATGTTTTTTCTTATGATTTTTAAATCATCACCGCGTAATCATGTATTAAGATGATTAAATAATTACAGATCTTTTAGTTTATAAAAATAAATTGTAGTCTTAATTTTTTCATAGTTATCAATTTTTCGAGCTCGGAAATATGTATACGTCGAAATGAAAACAAAAATTATTTACTTCTCAAATAGCAAAGGAATCCAAAGAAAGGACGTCTATTAAATACCTAAAGAAGAGCCTCTTACGTGCACTTTACGACACTTCACTTAGAAGTTTATGACATTCATATCGAAACTAATAGCAAAGAAATTACGCGAAAATGGAGTATCTCTTAAGTAACAGAAGGGTTAAAAACGCAGCATCTCTGCGTGTGTGGGTTCTCTGCACACAGTGTATTCATGTATATACGTGTACAAAATATGTATATATTATACGCCTCATGTGTGGAACTTCCAAATAGAGACTTTACTATACGATTGTCTTTGCACGATCGATGAATTAAGCCGCTTAATCACAACTAACATAAGTCAATGGCTTCGCCGCTAATGATACTTGCGAAGATCGCTCGGGCTCGATGAACGGATGATATCGGCTTGCTGACGATATCGATGGTGCCATCGTGACACCGATGGTGCAATTCATTATTCTCCAAACACTCGCCAATCTTTCTCTCAAGATATGTTGCCGGGATCGGCATCATCGATCTTACATCGCTCTCAGATTTGGCAAACTTTTGTACGCCATCCACAATATATTGCGGCAATTCGATGCCCACCTTGTAGCCCCGCTTGAGATTTTCTGATTTAGTCTGCCTAATAACGGATGTTATGCATCGCTTAATGTCTGCGCTTACGATTTGTTGCGATTCCAATGTTCCATCGTATGAATATTTGTCAGTAACATTCTCTAATAGCTCTAGAAGTCGATCAAAAGATAAACATATCTCATTCAAGGACTGTTCACTGACTAGCAGGTAACCTCTAGTTTCATTTTCTTTCTTCTTCAGAGCACATTCCAGCTTGATCAAGTTATCTTGTGCCGATTGCAGATTCATTTCGGCGGCTTCGCGACGTGCTCGTTCTTCAGCAAGCAAAAGATCGGTTCGTTTGGTTTCCTTCAGAAGACGATCGTGTTCTGCTTGGACTTCCGTCAATTGCCTGAGAATATATTGGATTTCTTCTGAATCACTCTGATCTACATTTTGCATACCAACATCTACCTTAGTAGAATCAAAACTCTTTAAACTTGTCTCATCGGTACATTGCACGATATCTTTGTGTTTCGATTGCTCTCCAACATCGACGTGATTCACCACGGGCTGGATACGAGATTGAAGATCTAAATGAAGAGAAACCTTGGGCATTGTTTGTACATTGTTGATCATCTGCGAATGAATTGAATTACGTTGCTGAGTTATATTGCGGAAGTCTGACTGTAAAGGTTGAATCTTCATTTTTGTCGATAGAAGCGATATTGGAACTGTCCTTCTTGGTGGAATTATCTGACAAGGTCGCTTTGTGTATTTAGTAAAGACATTTCGCGCTCTCAAAAGCTTCGCGGTGTCCTCATTCTCCCTACCTCTTCGAGTATCAGTCGATGCGATTTTCTTATCCTTTGGTGTTAATCCCATCCACTTATATTCCGATTTTCCCTCAACATCATTCTTCACTAATCTTCTCATCACTTCTGTCGCGAGCTCATCGTTTAGATTCACGTTCTTTCTCACATCGAGTACTGTCAGCGTGTTATTCTGGTCAAGTAAATTCATTAAATCCGCACCGATTTGATCCGTCAAGCCACAATGCTGAAGATCCAGCGCTTTCATCCACAAACTATCGCGTATTGCCTCAATCATTTCTATAACGGCGCAATTCCCTAGATGTGGATTATTGTTCAAAGTCAGGCGGCGTAGCCCAGGCATCGTGTCGAAGTTAGGCTCGCGATATCTTAGCGATTGTTTCCAGGTATCATGATACAATGCCAATTTCTGTCTTGAGAGTGCAGATGCTAATGCGCTGCCGCTGCTCGGTGTGAGGTCACAGTAACTAAGATTCAATGACTTCACGCTGCGAATATCCGCTATCGTTCGGCAGATCAATTCGCAACCATTATCGCCAATGTAACAACGTCGAAGAGATAAATGATGTAAAGTCTGTGTTCCCGATAGGCCAACACAGAGCACCGCAATACAATCTGGTGGAAATGGGATACCTTCGAGTTCTAAGTATGTGAGATTGGGTGAATTCCTCACACATTGGCCGATACTTTGTGACAGCCACTCCAACAAATAACGTGTGAGAACCACCGGAGCTTTACCCATTGCTCGCGCTTTGTCCTCGGAATTAATCTCTTCTAACGGTTTGCGGCATTGATACCTGACAAAAACTTTATAGCATAAGTATACATAATTTCTTATATTGAGAGATTATAAATTTTAGAACGATAAATTATATTTTGTTAATATCTTTAAAATATTTTTTTGTTAGCTTAGAATGTATTTTTAATAAAAGATTAAAAAATAAAGAATTAAAAAATTAAGAAAAAAAAGAAATAGTTTAAAAAAATTTAAATAAAATTTAGCATACATAAAAAGAAAAACATAACTCTTAAATGTATATGTAAATTTTTGATCATAAACATCTAAAATAACATCAAATTTAAAAATCAGTATACATAAGGATCAATTAAGGAACATTAAAAATAAAAGATATAAAAAGTATCAAAGTCAATTCAATTTGCAACCTGCTATGCACACTGATCGATTTGAGCGAGCGATCGAGGGAAAGCGAGTTCAAAATCGGTCTCCAGTCGTCCATTTTGATACGATCGGTAGTAAAGTCCAGATTATGTGGTAACGTTACACATATCACCGGCAACGGTCGCAATCGTTGCTGCTTACACAGTTCCATATAGCAACTGGCAAAGTTTCTGCCAGCTGGAATCGCCATTCTTCGTGGCGAACCCGGTCCGACCGCATCGATCTTCCGTCGGTGTCGCGACGGAATTTCACCCTCGAACGTCGTAATGGTGCCGATAATCTCGCCTCCAGAATTATGAACTACCCCGTCCGTTGCTGTAAATCAATATAGCAACAAATTTTATTTCTAAACATACTTGGCTAAATGTCAAAATATATTTAAAACTCAATATTGTCGAGAAACAAGAAATTTACCTTTGCTGTTGCAGCTTTGCTTGAGGATTAACCGGGATCTCACCGCGAAACGTCATCTGCACCATTAAATTTGCAATGGAAATAATTGCGAGAATCGGATTCGTTAGAAAGTATATTATTATGAAAGCATCGATGGCCTCTTTTTCTTGATTGTTTTCTTAAGGATTACGATAATTATTTGCTGGCCAACCTATCTAAAACCGATGAAAAATATCCCTGCATAGAACAAGACGAATCTATAAACGAAACACGCGCACGAACAGACTGAAGATATCGTCACTTGAAATCGTTGCGTACATATACAATACATATTTTTATCGAATTTGCATTTGGAAAATTGTAATGATACAATTCTAAGTAATCTTTTGAAGCAGATGAATAAGATGAAACATAATTCTCTTCGTGTCTTTTATAATATCTAAGAAAGATTATAATAATATTGTATATAGTTATAATATTTTTAAGTACAAATCATGTAAAATATTTGTATATAAAGTTTTTTTAGACTTTTATATACTGAAATTAAATTTTAGCAGGACATTGGACATGATAGAAATTATTAATTTTATTAATACGTAATTATTTTTTATTCGCAATAAATTTATTAAAGTTCAATACATTAACATCTTTATAATATGATGCTTGATGACAGCATCAAATTATTGAATTACTTGTTAATTTAATTCACGATTACTAAAGTAGTTTTAATTGCGTAGTAGTTTTATAGTCCGGAAAAACAATTCGGCGCGTATTTCTAAAAAGACTACAATATGATATATATGCAAATGTATATATAGTATATATTAGTAATATTCAAGATTGAATTATTTAAAGCAATAAAGATCCAGCTTCCACTATAATAGGAATTTTAAATTTCTAGTATTGATTATGTTTCTCACATATGCGGTGTAAAATAAAGATTCTTAATATTATTTTTATTTTTTATTATTCAGATTCTATTATCTTTTATATCATGAATTATAATATATTATAATTATTTCTCAGACCGCCCGTATCCTTGGCCATGGCGAGATATACTACGCCACTACCTCTGCCTACAGTCGCACCGACGACAAATTCCGCAAACAACGCAACACCACCTCGGCAAGAAAACGAGGACGGTATGCATTTAAATGCAATTGTTACGTTTATAAAAAGTTATTAACATTTTTTAAGATAATAATGAAAAAATTACATTAGCAAGAATTGAGCAAAATTAATAAGAAATATGTATAATAAATTTATAAAACATTTTTTTTGTCTGTTTTATTCACCATATTCATCTTAAGAATATTTAATAAATATTGAAAATAATGAAAAAATGATTAAAGAATTACAAATTATACCAAATCGTATTTAAAAGTAATATAACGAGAGAAAGAGAGAGAGAGAGAGAGGAGAGGAGAGAAGGAGGGGGAGGGGAGAGAGAGAGAGAGAGAGAGAGAGAGAGAGAGAGAGAGAGAGACAGTTTAGCATTTGTATCGTAAGTTACTCAATAAAGATAATATTTTTTTGATCTGTGCTTTAATAGAAACATATGGAAATATATTACGAAATAACTGAAGAAAAAATGAAGAAAAAAAAATTCAATTTTTTAATATAAGTATTTTATGTATTCAAGATTATTTATGTAAACTTACGATGCAAAAATTAGTCGTCCAGTATATAAACAAAATATTTATTTGTTTTAAATCTTTGTATTTAATGTGAATTTTAAGTTATTTTTATTATTTCAAGTTATTTCAGTTATGGAAATTTTATATTTGAATGAAGAAGAAGCTTTGCGTCTAAACAGGAAACGCTTCCGAGGACAGTATAGATGTAACAAACGAGGAGCCGTTGACGCCTCAACGAAGCGGATGCACTCAACTTCCACCGGTGCTGCCATCCTTATATTCACCAGCGAGTGCTGAAACGGTTTACGAGACCAGCGCGAGATTGCTCTTTATGGCAGTCAAATGGGCGAAAAATCTTCCCTCCTTCGCTGGTCTGCCATTCAGAGATCAGGTAACGATTTTTCAACTAAATTTGTCAATAGCAATTTATTTGTATTCCAATATGCATGTATTTATTATTAATTTAACATGTCCTTATACATTTTAACACTATTTTATTTGATAATTTATTACGATGTACAATAATCGTGACGTTAGAAATAAAAAATCAGTTAGGTCAGCTAATACATATCTACGTATCCTTATGTCAATATGATAAATAAAGAATAGGATGTCGGTAAAGGTTAATTAAATTATTATCTTAAATTTTGTAACAATTATCAGGCTTATTAGAGGAAAACACATATATTTATAATAATGCTCTAAACAGACGTAATGCCACAGTTAAATAAACTCGCAAGTCTGTATTTATTGCGCAGGTAATATTACTGGAAGAAGTTTGGTCGGAACTGTTCCTATTAAATGCGGTTCAATGGTGTCTGCCGCTTGAATCTTCGCCTCTCTTTAGCGCCGCTGAGCTTACTGCTCTGACCCTCTCGCCTCACCCGCATCCGCATTCAGGGTTACATCTGCAAACCACTACGGGGAAGCCCAGCCAAGTGGCGGCGGATGTTAGACACTTACACGACACCCTGCAGAGATACAAAGCGGTCATGGTCGATCCTGCGGAATTCGCTTGTATGAAGGCCATCGTTCTCTTTCGCCCAGGTTAGTAATTCTTAGCTTTGATTTGTCTCGTTTCGCACAACGCTGATTTTGCGATTTATCTTTAAAGTTCCACTTTTTAATTTTAACTTTTTTATTCTTCTCGATATTTAATGTAAACTGTATCTTCATCTTCGCGTGGTTTTTTATATGAAAATTAATCCGCTTGATTAATTTAGAGTGCAGTTACAATATACTATATATACATTTATATAAACTAATTTAATTTAATTTCAAAGAATTTTTTAAGACCGTAAATGTGATTACACAACAAATAAGGAATAAAACCTTTAACGGTGTTAAGCTGGATCTTAGTCAATTTGAATTTATATACTACATATTTAGTTATTTAAACAGCACGCCGAAATGATTATTTAATTTACACCTGCGACGCGCACTCTCAGAAACCAAATTTTTCCAAATTTACAGAAACTCGCGGTTTAAAGGATTCGAGCCAGATTGAGAATTTGCAGGATCAGGCGCAGCTAATGCTCGGACATCACGCACGTGCTCAACAACCAAATAGTCCAGCCCGCTTCGGCAGATTGTTGTTATTGCTGCCGTTGCTGCGAACAGTTCCAGCTGCAAGAGTGGAATTGATCTATTTTCATAGAACTATCGGCAATACGCCGATGGAGAAGGTCCTTTGTGATATGTATAAAAACTAAACATTTTAAATACCAAAGGACTTTGTTACGAACGTCATTTAACAAAACGCAAATACATGATCCAAAAACCAAATAATTCAGAGCTAGAAGCAGGACGAGATTTATGAAAGACAAAATCTGCAGTCATCGAAGAAAGACAGTAAAGATTAACAGAAGCTTTTTTTTAACGAAAGAATCAAGCAGAACGCGCGAACTTCTTTTCGACACGATCAGGCCTAAGGACAAAGTCCTAAGTCCCTCTGTGATGATCGTGAGAATTTCGATTGGCGAATATCTCTATCGTACAAATGCGAAGCACTGAAAAGAATGGCATCGCTAACGAATAAAACGGTAACTAAAGTGGACCGAGGGACACTCAATTGCGGCGTAAATATACACATATAGATATATACATGTATTTATTTATTATAGATATATTTATCGGGCGTTAGGCTCGACACGTTGATAGCACATTTTCTGTTTTTCGTAGGAAGTCGATGAATTAATCCGAAAAGCGGGGATACTTCATTACTAATTTCATTTTTTATCTTTTAAATTTATTATTGACTTATCGAATTAGAGAAAAAAGTGATAGGGTGGGCACGAATTTTACAGCTTTGTGAACGTCAAAAACGCAAATACGAAAATTGATTATTTTACAAAACATATATTTATATAAATTCGTAAGATTATTTAAAAAATTAACTCAATTAAAATATTTCTTTTTCTTTTTTGCTTACAGACAAATTTATGCATCAGAGATACGATTAATAAATCATGACGATATATACAGTCAAAATTAAATTACATTTTGAAATAACCGAAGCGGCAATGAATTCATAAAATTTAATGTTGCATAACATCGATTAAAATCAAATTATTTCCATAATGAAAATAATTTTGTTTATAAAGATGTGTGAAATTGATTTTTCTCGGCGATGAATGCTCGTCCGCACTTTCTCTGTATATTTCGTGTTGTGATACTATTTGCTGTAAAACGTATTCTCGGTGATATATATATACATATATATATATATATATATATTGTAACGATTACTTGTAATAAAAATAAATCCGATTAACTAAGTTATCATCACTGACTCACTCTTTCATAGACTTACTACTATCTTATTTATTATTACATGTTTATTAATGTAAATTATATTAACTTTTACAATATCGATTAAATATAATTTTAGATAAGCATTAATTATAACGCAATTTTGGATAAATATATTTAATACATCTTAATTTATTCATAGTATGAAAATGCCAAGTAATAATATTAAAAATAATATGATACAAACATAAGTTCCATTTATATTTTTACGATAAAGATAAAATAAATTAGATAAATAATTACAATATAAAAAGTAAAGACATGTTTTGAAATAAAATTATAAAAAAAAAGAGTTACGCAGCAATAAACTGAAAGAATTACTAATATAGAATCTAATAATGCACCATTTATATAATACGCCATAGTAAATTAATTAATAATCAATCGCAAAAATAAGATTTAGAAGCAAAAGTATAAGTCATTTTCTCTGAACGGGAAGCAAAAATTCAAAGATTACCAGTGTATTTGGCGAGGAGGTAAATTATCAGGAGACCTTTCAAGACACGATTTGACTTTGTGGATATAACGTAACAATGTATATTTGCACCGACACAACTTCGACATGGAGGATGTTGTATAATGTATATATTTATTTATCACTGCATAATCCCTGACTTCCCCTGCCGACGAGGATTTTGCCACATGGCAGTTTGACGGTCCCCGGCGGAGTTATCCCCTCGGCTTATAAATTACATCGGGGCTTGAGCGAGGTTTAAGGGTTTGCTTAAGTTGTCAAAGCAATCGGGGAGTTAAACGCCCCGTCGCTGGGGGTAAGCGACCTTAATGCTTTTTCGAGCGGATCTATGAAATGCGCCGAGTCAGGCAGCGAACCACAGAAAATAATTGAGGGAAACATGTAGACCTTAAGTATTCTTCTGAACTTTTAAAAGAAAAAGCATCTGGCAAACTTTGACCAACTTGCATCATGCTGAATACATCTTTAATATTCTCTTTTTTTATTTTTATAGTTATTTATTGAGAGTGCATTTTATTATCTAAGTAAGTATCTAAAAAAATGTCCGCACTTTTTATATTTAAAAATATATGTGCATATCTAAATATTTAATGACGATATTATTACCATTAGTAATAAAGTATAAAAAATACAAAGACAAATTATTTCTATAAATTCTATGATACACGAGATACGAATCACGCTATACAAATGTTTTGAAAGAAATAATTTATTGAACTGTGACTTAAATTATTGAATTGTTGAATTATTGAATATTATGTAGAAAGTCTTTGCAAAAAAAGAACCATTTTACTAATTTCAATAATCTGTCTCTGTTATTGAATTGTTATAACTTCGAAGATTGTTATTTCTGAATTTAGATATTAAAAATGAGAATAGACAGAGAAAACACATTAAATAATTATCGCTTGTTTCACAAATCTATCTTACCTCATCGATGTTGGAAAAGAAGCTTGTGAAGATTTCTCAGTAAATTAATGTTATCATGATTAAATTCACACTAAATATATAGAATACATCAATCACGAAATTGAAGATTAAGACAGCATTTCTTGTTTACCGCAATCGTTGAAGTGAGACAACAAATCGACACTTTCTCAGACTATCTTAAACTCAACCCTTTTTCCACCCTTACAATCGTAAGTCCTGTGGAGGTTGTGCAGATCCGGTAACGAATTTCGATATCCTCTAGCGAAAAAGAGCGAGTATAGGCATGGCGGAACGAGGAGGCGGAAGGTAGTGATAGTATTGACTCGCTTTCGCGGATGTGCGGAGGCGGAGTTTTCGACCTATCTACCTCGGCATTCTCCGTGTATCCCCTACTTCCATTCCGCTGCCCCCAGGAAGCAGGGAAGCCGGGGTCGTGCCGGGTTCGACCGAGTCGGTCGGGTAGAGTGAGACCGACTCTCGTCGCACTGTCAACCCCCCACCCACGCGACGACAAAACTCCCGCTGAAGGGTGATCCAGCAATGGCGGCAGGACTTGTTGTATTTCGCTTTCGAGGTGAACTCTCTCCATTCCCTTCTACCTTCTCGATTCCATCCCTGTCCCGCGTGCTCCCCCGATCTCGAGGCCCGGATAGGTATGGTGGCGGAAGGTGTGGGTAACGGTGAGAAAAAAGAGAGCTGCACAGCGAATTGTGGGATCCTAGAGGAATGAGGAGGAACATCAGGAAAGAGAGAGGGAAAGAGAGAAAAGGGAGGAAGGAAGGGGAAAGAAAGACAGAGAAAGAGAGAGAGAGAGAGAGAGGGAGAGGGTAGAAGACTATATCGCTTGGGACAGGAAGCAGCAACCTCCATTTATTTTATTACATTATCATACCAACTAGACGCTCGAAAAGTGGGATTTTAAAGCAACGGTTCTCAAATCGTTCCGCGAGAACTTTGGCGACTTTTGCCGATATCATTCGCTTTAGCTCTATTCTTTTAGCAACAAATATTTTTTTTTTCAAACTCGAGGTATTTTAATTTCTAATTGAGGTTACTCTAAATCTTATGTGATAAAATAAAGTTGATATCTAAATATGATCGATAAGATAAAATTGAAACATTTTATAAAAATGAAGGCAGTTATTTCTTTACATTTCAAAGACATCGGAAAGAATGAGAGAAAGAAAGAGAAAATAATTAAAGTAATTAATTATTATATACATTTTCTTTCTCAATGTCATCTTTATTTATATATGATGAAATTAGTTAAGTCGTACCAATGATTAAATACTTCTATTGTATTTTCTAAACGAAACATTTTTCTCGAAGATGACAACACAAATGTGACACTAATATGTTAGTACTGTCATTTTTTGTTTTCAAGTTTCGTAATGACACTCAAAATTGATTTTATTCGGTGTTTAATATTTGAACTTTTTTCATGTATAGCATCAAATTAACAAAATATTTATAAATTATATTGCTCTTTGCAAATTTGTAAAAATACAGATAGTAGGGTAAATTGTAACTTGTCGCTGATCTTTATATTATATCTACATTTAAGATAAAATAAATATTGGCCTAGTTTATATCGTATTTGATACGGATACTGACTAGTAACAATTTAACTAGTTAACTTAATTTCGGTAATACTTGTAAATATATATATGATATGAATATTTAGTTAATCATTTTGATGCATATTGTATATCAATTTTGTACATCACTCTTTAAATGCATTGCTGAAATTAAGATAATTTAATAGAGAATTACTAGTTATATCTGTATCAAGTGCACGATGTAAATTAGACCATTAAAATTGAATAATTAAATATTGGGTTGTCCGGAAAGTTCGTGCCGCAAAAGATTTAAATTTAAATGAAATTAAAAATTTAAATATTCTGCATTTCAATTTTCCTTCAAAATCGGCACGAACTTTCCGGACAACCCAATAATACTTATTACCAGTCTTAATATTATACTTACATTTAAGATAAATAGCATATTAAGGTAATTAAATAATACTTTATAATTACTATATTTTGATATTTATATAAAAAAAAATATGTTTGTATTGAGTCTTTTTAAGATAAATTAAAAATTATTTATATAGATATTATTTGTTGGATTTTAAGAAAATTTAGATCTTTCTTTGTAAAAACTAATAATTATTTATTATTAGAAGTATGATTTATGTGCAATTTAAATCAAATGGTACAATTTAACGGTTCAGTCTCTAAATCGGTTCCGAAACTTTATCGAATCTAATTTAGACAATAATTCAATGTTTATTTTCATAAAAATGTCGTTTTGTTTTAATATTAATGAACCAAAATTTGGTGTAAGTACAAAGATATTCTGAGCGCTTTAAAGCTTTTGTTACAATTTTATTTAAACATTAAGAGATATGATATAGGCGATATTTCCTCTATATATTTCAGAAAAGGATATCTTTTTAAAAACATAGATTTATTAGGCAATTATTTTATTAGATATTCTTATTGTTATTAATGTGAAAAGACTAATTTAACGATTATAATGATATATCAGAAAAATTTTTGTATGTAACTCGAGAGATTATTTTTATATTTATAAGTAATATTAATAAATATACATATAATGATAGTAAAAAGAATTTTTGATAAGTTAGCTGTAAATGAATGTATTTGAAACGCACTCATAGTTCCTAATAAAATTATTTTATGTATCTAATATATAGCTTACTTTGTAAAATCAAGCTTCAAAATTCGTTTAAGAAATATTAAAC